AAATATATTGCTCATTGCTTACCACTAGATGGCATTATATAGCTTTAGTTACTGCATTCCAATGTTTCAATGCAACTGATATGCTTTTTACTGATTACTAAAAGTATGTATCAGATAATCATTAAAAATGTAACTACTTATTTTGCATTATAGTGATGAATTTAAAATGACTTTAATAAGAATCTGAAGTCCTGAGATTTATGAAGTATTATTGTAAATAAATTGAAGATGCAATGCAATTTTTTTTTCATTTTTTCCACATTACAATTAATAAAAATGATGGTTCTGGTATTAGTATTAAACACATGTTTTGTAAGCAATGTCATTAGTCTGGAAAGTGATGTTATTGGTTTATTTCACAACTAAGGGTTACATTATTTATGTCATTTTTTAGGGAGTGATGGTTGGTATGGGTCAAAAAGACAGCTACGTAGGTGATGAAGCTCAAAGCAAGAGAGGTATCCTGACCTTGAAATACCCCATAGAACATGGGATCATCACAAACTGGGATGACATGGAGAAGGTATTTCAACATTTGAAAGCTTGTGTCAGGTGTAGATAGAATTTTTCAGTACAGGAGTAAAAGATTAGAACATTAATTGTATCACAGTGTCATGATATCTAGTAGTATTTTATTTCACATGAGAAAATTACTAACAACTGAAGCTGAACTAGTACTTGTTAGCATTTATGCATCACTTTACAGCTCATCATTGTTCTGTGTGATGTGTGTACCTTGCTAATTACTCCTGGCATAAAACATCTAAATGGCTCCTGGCTGAGGTGGGAATTCATACATCATTGATTCTAATGTTCACTAGAAAGCATTACAAAATACTGTAGTGAAGACCAGTTGTGAACATCAAGAACTGAGCATTGCCCAGAGGGATGCCACTTTCATTCATAATTCATTCCATCAAAAAAGAGTAATGTTAGCTTTGAATTTGTCCACCAGTACCATTTTTTTTTCTCATGGATGTTTCTCTTTTCCATCTGAAATACGTTTTTTTTCTTGACCAACTGGTCCAGGTTCTTTCAGCTGGCTGGCTGCTTTGTGCATTTTTCACAAAACCCAGAATTGGTTTTGGAAATCAGTGTACACACACACACACACACACACACACACACACACGGAGGTCTTCCAAATAAGTTACTATATATAAAGTATCGGTGGTAAAAGCAAACATTTTTCACAGTCACTTCGACATTCAGTCATAGCCACTTAGGACAGCGGCCTGTTAAATATTGTTAGCCAACATCTACTGCTAGAAGCACTTGCAGTTGTGAGGCAATGGGAACATTGATCCTGAAGGTCTCTTCCAAACCTGTGATTCTGACTATTTTGTGCATAGTCTGAAGTCGTGACACTTCGGTTACAAATTGTTGGTTGATGATATTTCTTCACTTTGCCTCTTTTCACCGTGTTTTTAGATTTGGCACCATTCTTTCTACAATGAATTACGAGTCGCCCCTGAAGAGCATCCAACTCTGCTTACTGAGGCTCCACTGAATCCCAAAGCCAACCGAGAGAAAATGACACAGGTAATTACATTGCTTTAAGGAACATTATATTGGCATTACAGAATACTGACAAAGGCTAAGTTGCTTCACTTATGCACAGAGCAATGTACAATTGGAGGTATCAGATAACATGAGACAAGAAACAAATGATACACATTGGGACACAGGGAATCACATGAGCAATCACCCATCTCGCAACTCCACAGTAAGTTAGAGGTTGGGCTGCTGCATTAAACTAAGTGTCTATGCTTTAACCTGTTTTAATTGGATTTCCTAAATATAACTTAAAATAATTTAAAAGCTATAACTTGGTGAAAGGATTTTACATCATAAGATCAAACTGAACACAGCAATGAGAAATATTCACTGAAATAATTTCAAGCTTTGTAGCTTAAGCATGGTTTTAACAGGATCACTTGGAGTACTTGCAACAGTTTTACTGTCATGTTGTTGATATCCCTGGCAATGAATCTGTCATGGAAGCAAGGGGATGCAAGGTGGCCAGTTGTCCAATTTGCTTATTTTTGTAGTTTGAACTTTTTTACAAAAGACGGGTGCCAATTAATATGTTTTTGAAGTTCAGCTTTTCAAACTGGCTTGAAGTGAAAGACTGTTGCCCTTTAATGAGCAATGCTTCTTTTACATTGCTTGGTCCTAGACCGTTTTAGAAACAAAATGTGCACTAGTCATACTGCTTGGTTTAATGTTTTTGTCCACAGATCTTTTCACTCAACTCTGAATATGGACATGATCAGTTAAAAAGTAGAATATGAAAATGTGTGGTTTGGGTTTTGTTTGGGTTTTTTTAACAGTAAAAGTTCTGGTGCAGTTGATACCTGTTTGTAGTGACATGCTGGTGACCTAGTGTGTATGTTGCTCCTAAGCAGCTGTCGCTGTTATAGGTAGTATTATTTGAATACACACATGGAAATTGTTACTAGGGAGAAATATTGCTAGTAATAGATTGTTGCTCTTACTAGGTGCTGCAAATAAGCATGGACTGTTATCAACTATTTGATGAAACCTGTGGGAACCACAGCCACAAATGGACTTAGTCACTGCTATGCTCAGCATTACAGCATCTTAATGTTAAGCATATAGGCCCCCCATGGTGGAATTCACAGCCTTTAGATCCATATACGATACATAAGGAAAGTTGGGAACCTCAAAAAGAGACCTACACAGGAGTACATGTGTTATTTGAATGCTTCAGGTGATATAGGCAGAATATTTGTTTTGCAGATACTGATTAGGCTTCAGCATTAAACAAATGTCAAGCTGCTTAGTCCTGCTAAGATGCAGGTACTTCTGGTTATGTCCAGAAGCAGAGTTTAGGCATCTGGGAACCTCTAACATACAATGTTAGATACCTACAAAGTTCTGGAAGGTCCAGGGTAAGGTAGAAGTTGAGCAAGGTTCTGAGGATTATAATTTTGGATTTTGGCACTTAAATCCCACCTACAGTCTTTGCGGAGTTGGGCTTAAAACAAATAATACATATTGATTAATATATGGTGGTACAATCTCAGCCCCTCTGTCAATGTGCATATATGAGAGAGAGTGAAAGCAAGAACATACATATGAACAAATATGAGAAATGTATAGAAGTTAGAGTACAATTTACAGGAATCTATTTCAGCCTCCTTTTTTCTCTAATATTTTGTTTCAAATGAAGAAAGTCATAGAGTTCCACTAATTCAGTATTTTGTTTCTTTTCAGATTATGTTTGAGACATTCAATGTACCAGCCATGTATGTGGCCATTCAAGCTGTATTGTCCCTGTATGCTTCTGGACGTACAACAGGTAGGTGAGGTGAGGGAGTGGGAAGTTTAAATAGTTTAAAAAAGAAAAGTGTGTGTGTGTTTGTGCATGTTGGGGGGGGGGGGGGGGGGCAATCTGAAGGCAAATTACTTTTGGGGGGAGGGCGCAATCTGAAGGCAAATTACATCTGTATTGTTTTCTCAAAGGGATTGTGCTCGACTCCGGAGATGGTGTCACCCACAATGTGCCAATTTATGAAGGCTATGCTTTGCCTCATGCCATCATGCGTCTGGATTTAGCTGGCCGAGATTTAACAGACTACCTCATGAAAATTTTGACAGAACGTGGCTATTCCTTTGTGACTACTGGTAAGAACCAGTCCTAACCAAGGACAAGATTTGCTTTGTGTGTAAAATTTGTGATAGCCTTCAAGGATCATTGGCTATTCTAGTATTGTATAGAAGCATAAAGAAATGGAGAAGAATGTAAGATTCCCATTTGACATTACTAAATGACTATCTTTGAAAGGAAATACTGTGTAAGGGCTGCTTAGATACAGTGATCTGTTGAAAAACAAGATTTTCATTCCCATACCCTGTTAAACAGCTGAGCGTGAAATTGTCCGTGACATCAAGGAGAAGCTGTGTTATGTGGCCTTGGACTTTGAAAATGAGATGGCCACTGCTGCCACTTCCTCCTCTCTTGAAAAGAGCTATGAGCTGCCTGATGGTCAAGTGATCACCATAGGTAATGAGCGCTTCCGCTGCCCTGAGACCCTGTTCCAACCCTCCTTCATTGGTAAGTTAATTGATGTCTTTCATTGGTAATTTATGTTGCAGTAACTATCTTGTTGTCCCTGGGCTCTTGTAACTCTCATCTGTTCCCTGCAACACATTCACTTCAGCATACACAGGTGCATATGTTCTAGTAACGAAATTGTTATAGCACACCATTCATGAGCTGGAGCTAACATCTAGTCATGGTTCA